AAAAAAGGAAAAAAGAGAAAGAGAAAAAGGGAACACAGTATCACGAGTTGGAATCTGTTCAAATTTCGCTCTCGCTGTGCCCCGTATCAATGGTCGTCTTGTATTTCGAGAAGGGTGCGTGCAATTTATTGTAATCTCCTTTCTTCTGCTTGTTGAACGTACCGACGCGAGCGAGACACGTACTAACTTCTTCTTCGCCGTGTGTCTACCATTGCCAAGGTGTAACGTATCACCGGTGCTCTTTGTGGGACGGGCATCGGAGGAAGTTAATAAAACTCGTTTCACAACGAGTCGAGGAACTCTCGTCTCGTGGCGCAACCCCTCCGAAGGATTTATTACAGAGTTCAGCCATGAATGGAATATCCACCACCGTGTTCGAGATTGGAAACTGTGCAAGCGAATGTGGCCCATGGGGATAGAAAATGGCGAAGAAACGGTGGATTAAGCGAATTTGATGTTCAGAGCTGAGAATCAATCAGCAGTGGCCGATCTGTCGTGGCGTTTCACGTTATTACATAAAAGTAATTTCACAATATTTCACCCTCGATTGCAATTTAATCAGTAAGCTATTCACACTGTTATCAACAGTATATTAACATTATATTTTTAAATTAAATTTATTTAACAGTATATTTTTAAATTCCTCGTACCTTGAAGTAACACTGCGAGGTATCCAAAAGAAGATCGAAGTATGAAAAATTTCATCGCACTTTCTCACGTGTAGAAATTTGTTGCCCACAGTGATAAAAGTAATAATAACAAGCACAAAATTTGCACATGTACGAAATTATACATACTATTGAATTCATTTGAACAGAATTACGAGTATGGTTTCATGCTATTTCTATGAACGGTAATCGAAATAACTAACAATGAAACAAGTAGCCAGCAATCTATAAAAGGTCAGTTAATTGCGAGGCTTCCTCCGATGAGGAAGGTAACGCTGTATGAATTATCCACGCTGGCGAACAAATGAAAATTGGAAAGAATGGGCAGCAAGAGCGGGCCAATAATTCAACGCGGTGCTATCGATCGGGCACGTGACACTACGGCACGAATTCCAGCGCTGTTGAAAATGATATTAATGACGATCGGCGTCGTCAGGCGAAAGGAATGCAATATCGCGGCAGCTGGTGTGTTAATGTAGCCGGTGGCTGCGACCAATAGAAAATTCCACGCTGAGCAAGCCTTTACCTACGTGGGTGTCACGAGCGTGGTGTCATAGTCGTCGGACGGATTACGAGACAGTTATTAAAATATCATTCTTCCACCGGCGGACCTCTATCGCCCTCGCCAGAGGCACTCACCCTCGACGCTTGACGCCGCGGGGGTGACTTCACGCTGGCCTGTCTTTCTGTATCCTTTGCGACGTAGCTGGTGTAATCAAGTGCGTGTTTGCCGCGTCCTTGAAACCCCGGGATGAGGGGGGAGAGACGGGGAGAGACCTTCGATGGTCGCGTGGATGTATGTATTGCAAAGCCGCGTTTCACAAAAGGGTGAACAGCATATCTGACGTTTACTTGAATCGAATAAAAAAAGTAGAGATATTTCGTTGAATCGTATTCTGATTTCAGTTGAAAACGATCTATCGTTAATTTTATTACAATGTAATCAGAAGTTGCGGAAGAACAGAGGGGGAGGGGAACATTCTATCCTGATGGGTTTGATGGGTCAAGTTATGCAGAAATATATACCAAATCTTAATGGATCTGGAATCGAGTAAATCTGATTTGAAGGTTTCAATTTAAAGAAAAGACAAGAA